TCGTCGACTGGTATCGTTCAGTCGTCGTTGGTGTAGCCAACCAAAATGACAGAGATGCCCAAGAACTTGCGTGTCTTGTGCTATGACTATGCCAGGATAGGACCGTTTGAAAAGGCGAGAGATATTTGTCACTTTAACAGGGATAAGCGAAGTGTGTACGAGAATGTAATTCTTAAACGAATAAAGGCATTTCAAGTTTCAAATTACTATTTGAATGCTATTATCTTTGGTGTAAATTACTCTGTTTCTACGCTTGGTTGACCAGATACGCCGTATGATTGTTAGTCATCTACATTCTACGATACAATGGCTTGAGCGTGTTACCGTTCAGATTTGAGGATATAGCTGATAGAGGGAGGTCAGGAAATGGACTCTGCGACGATTTTCCAACTTAGAGCGTCAACCTGAGAAGGGTTGTAAGCGTGCTGCTATAAGTCCTACAATTCTTCAAAGGGTAGCGCATCAATGAGCAGTCCAATGTGCTTGGTGTGTGACTTTGTACATATGTTCACATTGCATATACTGAATTGATATCATCTGTCATCTAGCTGTTGGTAATTCTGTTTGTGTCCGGACGACTTCCACTTGGATCATCAACCTGAGAAGGAATGTAGGCGTACTGCTGTAAGACCTACAGATCTTCAAGGGTAGTTCGTCAAGGCAGAATCCACAACATTTGATGTAGTGATTGTATACATGTTTGTGTTAAATGATTGTGGGAGTTCCAATTATTGTAATTGTTGGTTAGTCTTGTTTGTGTCCGGACATTCCACAACTTACAATCGTCAACCTGAGAAGGATTGCAGGCGTACTGGTGTAAGTCCTGCGATTCTTCGAAGGAATTACATCAAGACACGAACTGCGATTTTGTGTGTACTGTTTGTATATATGTGTGGTGTGTCATATCGATTGGTATTTTTTGGATTCATTGTGTTTACTCGTTGTTTTCGTACCTTATTATTGCGTAATTTTGTTAAAATTTTCGTCGTGATTACTTCTGAAGTTGTCTCGAGTCTTCTACATCCATGAATGAATTGATTGATGTTAAAGACAGTAGATGGGTAGTATACGCCAGGGAGGCTAGGCTATTGCTGAGAATGAAATGCACATGGAGATAATTGCTGGCTATGGTCCTACACGCCGGGTAGCGAGAGTTTAGACGACTGAGGCTTGCATACGTCACCGTTACTAGAACTGAGGCAGAATGAGCGACAAGCGATTGCAGTGGCAATTTTTCGTAAGCAGAGAAGAAGATGTGCGTAGAGTATCGTGAGGTGCTGCCATGGTCACGTTGCATTCTGCAAGAGTCATTCCAGGAAGTGGCGATTGTGTTGCAAGATGTCAAGAGGATGCCTTTAACGGGAAGGTGTAGGTCGTCGTCGGTGAGTGAGATTGTGCTGTGGTATACCCGCGGTGTGTTGGCTTTTCTGTTTGTTTTCCCTTTCAGCTCTGTCAGTGTGACCCAGGTTCTCGCACTGACGTCCAAGTCGACGTGTGTTGGTCATGATGGAAAAAGGGGTGGATTATTTTGCCGGGGAGTGTCAATGTGGTTGAAGATTGAACGATCAATTCATGGTTGTTTGCTCAAAGCCAACTTCCCCATATTTTCGCAGAGGCATCAATCTGCCAGTCGTTGTCTCATCGTTCGCTGTTCACAGGAAATATACAAACCATCGGAAGTATTGTCGTGATTTGTTGTTATAACATTTATTCTTAGACCTTGTGTGTAATAACCTTATTGTTGGTTACATATTGGCGTCAAAATAACGGATTCTCGAGTCGCTAATCAGTGTTCTGGTTTTTTGGCGTTAGCTCATTGAAATTGTTTCTGAAGGTCTTCGATGGACAGCGTGAGGTCCAGCATAGTAAGAGCTGGACATTGACAGTTCATGAGAGTTGGCTGACATTATGTCATAGATTCACTTCTTTGTAAATTAGGTACCACATCTCTCCTAGAGGAATCTGATTTGCGGTTTGAAGGCCGTCCTGTGTTGGTGTCTATTCTTTACTGTTGACGAAGAATAATCTTAGATTAATGGTTAACGACGATGTCTTACATTCGACGGGAAGAACTTTCATAGCTCACAACAGTTGCAAAAGCTATCGAAGCGGCAAATATTTTCCTAAGTTCATTAAGCTAAAGCGCTCAAAACTGAATGCTGACCTTCACTGTACAAATCGAGTTGTCAGGCCGTATATCAGCTGACAAGTGTGCCGTTAGACACGCTCATTACTAAACATTTCTGGTCCTGGAATAAACTTCTTATTCGGATGTCAAATTTGCTGTTTTCAGTAGAGCAAGAACTCTGGCAGTTTTGGAAACTTTCATTTTCTGTATAGAGCGTATCTTACTTTTTGTTTTGACTTCATCCTCTAGGTTATCAACAAATCCGGATTTGGCAGGCGACTATTATACAGAGACTTAGGCTACTAAATTTCTCCACGCTTTATTAATCATGCAACGTGTCAGCAATAATCGGGGATATATGCGTCTGTTAAAGGCAACTAACACGATCCAATGTATTACAGACGTGTAGCGTTTCTGCTAACGATATCAAAGGCGACTGGAAGTCACATACATATAGTTCCAGGAAACTTTTGCTATATGCTTCCAACCTCCCATAAACATGGAATAACTGATTGGAATTTCTTGACCCAAGAGAGAGGTCAGACGTTGCCTCTAGGCCAAGTGAAGATTTGGGTCATGTGTTGCAAAATGTTCTTCCCTAAAATGTCCCCGCAACTCAGTGATTTTCTGCATTGAAGATTACATGGAGCGGAAGAAACCTCCTACAGAACAAATCGTCGTACTTCCTAGATGAACTTGATCCGCTTCGTGGAAGTACTGTGTGTTATTGATGCAAAATTATGGTAAACCTAGTTTGTTGGAACACCTGACAGCCTTAAGGAAGTGGGCTACAGAAAATAGCCTAATGTTAAGTATGTAGGATGCCAAACAATGTTTATCCGAAGACCAGCGAAATAATAAATTTCCCAATGCTAACCTGGAATTGACGACCCCCACAGATAGGCTGATGGATATCTTTGGTGAAGTTGGGTTAAACCGTTCAAAAGATGCATTCAGGAATGTCAAAGACCTCCACTTCAAGCGCAGGATTTTGAGCTCATTTAGATCTAGATTGTTGGTGCCAGCATTTGAAAAGTACTAACTGTCGGGGTAAAAGTACTCAGAGCTTTCGCATTAAAACAGACTCCAACCTTACGGAGTGGCACAGTGGTTAGGACTCTCGCCGACCATGCACATGGTCCGGGGTTCGATCCCCTGCCGACGCACACTTGATATCTATGGTCGGCCTGCAAAATTTGAGCTACCGATATCCGTGCTGAAAATTCCATACTTGTACCAAAAATACAGTGTGAAATCAAGCTGTAATAAAAAAGAGAATTGTTTTAAGAGAACTTCCAACCATTCGATTGTCGGCTTCAAAAGACAGGATCGCATAGACCCCGCAGAACAAGGATTGACTCACGAGTGCGCAACTCATACAGCCTGCATGGAGGCACTGCATCAAGGGTACTATGAAGCCTTTCAAAATAAAAGCGACCGAGACGCCTGAGACAATGGATTAACAAACGTCCTCTCGGGTTTCTTTTCTTCTTAAGCTTGTCACTTACTGAAATGATTACTGGTGAACATAGTAATAGCTCTTTGAGTTGGCAGCTCCTAGAGAATGGATTGCTATGCAGAATCGAAGTTCTTTAAGTGAAACGATCTAGTTATGACGTGGGGTTTTTCGTTAAAACCCCACGTCTCTCTGGTAAACCATCTTTGACACTTATTTCAGTATTCTACACCTTATTCAACATTAAATTTCCTTCTTTCCATGAGCTGTCGTTAATGTTTAATGTATTTACTATGTCGAGTGAACTTCTGTCTGGAAGGTCGTCTGTTAGAACACAATTTTGAAAATGATTTAGATCTTCTGCATTGGTATGTACCAAATTACTAAAATCGTCTAATAGCCGTTATCAGGTTATTGTATTTGGAGGCGGGTGTTCTGTGATTTGTCGTACTTTACTTCTTTCAAGGTCACTAGTCTTTTAGTACATGCATGGCGATTTGTCGTTGTTTCTTTTATCCTTTGTTGCTGAACGCACTCCCTTCATGAACAACACAAAAAATTCACAACATAAACGTTAAAAAGCACCAAAGGAGTGTGATGGCACATATGACTGTGAAATATTTGGGATATCCCAAAGTTTTTATATTATTAATTAATAATAATTTAGTAAAATAAGGTGAATAATATAATCATCAGTAAAATATAGTATAGTGTTAGGTCAAGTTATAAACCAATTACCTATTCTAAAAATTCGCACCCAAGAGTTCTTGGGTGCACATGGCATTATTAATTGGAAAGTTGGGAAACTGCATTAGTGAGTTGTAACTGAATGCCTTCATTGTTGAAAGACACTAATTACACATGTTTACCTTCATATCCGGACCGGCTTTGAATATTCTCCGACCTCAGTGAACGTTTGGGTGGTAGGAAAAAAGGATAGGTGAAGCCTTTCGAACTTATTGTAACCCTCTCATGATCTTGCTGATCGTGAAATTTTCTGCACCAATTCATCTCTCACATAGTTGTGCACAACAAATTATCACACCTGCCCATTCCACCAGACTAGATATCTTGTTTTTATTCCTCTACTTTCCGAGTGGAACTTAGGACTTCAAGGTAGAGTGTGTAAGTGGTATTTATTTTTATGAGAAGCGGTCGCTTACTTCATGCTCAACCTTCCCTCTTAACCGCCCTTATTACCTGCTTAGCGAGGTAAAGGAGTGCATCAGCCGAGGGTCGACTCTTGAACCTTGTGCGTGGTTGGAGAGCCTTCTAGCGCTGAACCACCGATGCATATTGTAGTAAGTGCTTTAACATGAATTCTTATTTGAAAAGCAACATGTACCAAAACTAATTAAGTGTAAAGTATATATTTTGTGTCTTTTCCTGAAAGCTGTTCATTTTCTTGTCATACAGATGACCGAACCCACCGGTGACCTTATGACTGTAGAAGAGTTAGAAAGGTTGTTTAAGGACCGGTATACTGAAAAAGATGTTGATTATCAGGAACACTTAGCTAATGCTAACCTACCACCTCCTGCTATACCGGACTGGGGTAATAATATTTAATACTTAATCCTAGTTGTACTAGACAAATTAAACAGAAATAGGTTTAATCGAGCCGGAAGACGCGTAAGTTTTAAGTGCTCACTTGTTTAAATATTCATCCTTTATAGGGTAGTGGAAGATATCGACAAGGAAACCATCGACACAACAGTTGGGATTAACCTGACCCATTATGCTGCATAGAAACTCCCCATTTCTTATCTCTATAAATTTGTGTACATATATTTTACCCCTTAACATTATAAAACAGTAAATATAAATTTGTAAAATGACGCTTTCTGATTAGGTTGAATGATTATCTGTTGTAACCTTTTGAAATTGTTTTGGTATTTCCTCATCTTATATCGATATAGTATTGTGAAAAGAAGGCTTGGGTCCATAGTCTTGTAGTGCTCACTTCTACTATTCCGTTATCTATCGAAAGGACAAATTAGATTTGCTGGTACCAGTTTATGACTGACTGACCGGTTTCAACACAACTTTCACTGATGTGCACCAGTGCGAGTCACCACAATTCACTTAGCACATAAAGCAAGAGAACGTAAAAAAGAATGCAAAACAGAGACAGTAAACGAGATATAAGGCAAAAAGAGTAGCAATAACGAAGAATAATATAGGTTTATTGGATATTATAAGTCACAAGGAGTGGATGCATCCTCTCCAGCGACATCGAGAATGACTTTGAGCCATATCACCGATTGTCCCCAGTCATTGGTTTTACCGTCCCGGGGACCTCAACCAGGAAGTCTGTACCTTCCTACTTGGCTTAAACTAAATGTTGTGGATTTCATTGACTGGTGCCATGTTTTGGTTTGACCGTCACTGACTCTTTTTCAACCAGATGCCGTGTCAGTTAACATTTCTCATCGAGGCAGGCGATAGCTAAGCATACTTACACATGTCCTGTCCATCTCAGTCGATGTTGCTTTACTACCTCGTCGACTGATTTCCCCTCCTTATCTAACACTACACGCCTAGTCATAATACTGCTCACCCTATTATACCAACTAATGGGGGATAGAATGCAGACACATGATCAAAGGGAGCTAACTTTTTCATGTCATTGCCTTCCTCAACGGGGAATGTTAGCTGACATAGGGTCAGGCTGCAAAAGAGCCAGTCGTGGTCAAACGAAAACAGCACTAGTCAGTTAGTTTAAATCTGGTTGGGGTCCTCGGGACGGCAAAACCAATGGCTGGAGACAATTGGTGATATGGCTCAAAGTCGTTCTCAATGGCGCTGGTCCAAATGCACTCACTCCTTGTGGCTTATAATATCTACTGAAACTATAGTATTCTTCGATATTACTATTCCTTTTGTCTCATATCCCTGTCTCCTGTCTCTATTTTGCATTTCTTCTCTTGCTTTGTGTGCTACATGGTGTGGCGACTTGAACTGCTGCACATCGGTGAAAAGTCCTATGTTGAAAACAAATAGACCGATAGAACCTTTTCATGTCTTCCACATTCAATGACCAGGTTCCACAACAATACCGGGGGACAGCGGATTGCTGAGCAGTATACACGTCCTTTGGTCGATATGCGGGTATCACGTCTACGCCAGAGACGGTGTAGACCCACATATGCGAAACGAGCCTTCTGTATCCGTGCTGAGGTTTTGTCAGTGATCAGCTCGCTGGCGTTGGCTGATGCAACTTCCTAAATAAGTGAAGTTAATGTCCTCTACCACTTTAGTCCCTATTTCTAAGCTAGGAGTCAATATAGTCCAATTCTGTATCATCATCTTACATTTGGTGGGAGCGAATCGCATGCCAAACATTCACAGATTGCAACTCAAGTTGTTCAGAAGACTCTGCATTTTGTCAGCGTCTTCACCTACGAGGACTGCATCAGTCACATATTCTAATTCAATGAGATTATCCCCTGACGGTAACAAGTCAATCCCTGAGTCGCTGAAGTGAGTTAGGAGTGAGTCCATTAATACATCCATGATGAAATTGAATAGAAATGGGGCTAGTGGGCATCCTTGACAGTCACCACTAGTTGTCATCACTTCAGACGACAACTCGTCGTAACCTCTCACCTGACTAACTGCATGAGTCCGAACAGAGTGTCTTGATCATTAGATACCATATTAGTCAAACTAGTCTCCCTGTGATTATCGCAGGAAGACTTCTATCCGTTTTTGTATGTCGGGATAATCAGTGACTTACACCAAGCGGGCGGGACCTCCTCTGATACGCAGACGCTACCTAATACTTTAGTTAACTCAGAGAGTGAACTGTCTCCGCCATTTTTTAAACACCTGGAGTCATTCCCTCAGTTCCCACTGCTTTGCTTCGTTTCAAACTGGTGACAGTTTTGTAAAATCAGTTAGAGACAGAGGACCTGTGTCTACATCCCAATCAAGGAGGTTTTGAATGCGCATTGGGTTAAGGCGTGACTGTGGGCCAGTTAAATTGCTCTTCAATGTGTCTTTTCTAACGCTCCTGGGAGCTAATTATGGTGCCATTTTAGTCAGAGATTGTTTCACTTATCATTTGCCTTTTGTCACCTGTTTCCCTGATAAGCTTAAATAGTTGTCTGGTGTAACTTATCCCCGATGTCTTTTCCATCTTTTTCGCTTTAGTCGCCCACCACTGTTCACGGTCGTTACGAATGCTTATTGTCATTTTGCGTTTGAGTAGCTTTTGCTCCACATCATATTTGGAGCTCACCGGAATCAGTCTTGTGTCAATCAGTTTGGATGAGGTGGTTGAAATCTACTGGCTCTTACTAACTTTAGGTTTCAGGTTATTAACAGCTTTTAAAGCTGTGTCTACAGCTAACTGTATGTTGTGCCGGCCTTCCTCAGGAGGAGTCTTGCTGTCTACCTCAGTTACTCGTTTCGCTTTTTCTTCCTTAAATGGGGATTCGGCGTCTCAATCTAGTTGACGACGTAACTGCTTTTCTGCTAACAGGTTTTTGTCCGTTTATATGTAAGCGTAGACGTGCGTAAATGAGGGCGTGATCAGAGTCTACGCAAGTATTCCAGAAGGAGCGGCAGTCTTCTAATGACCCTCGTCAACAATATCCTAACGCTATGTGGTCTATCAGAGTCCAGTGTTGATTTGGTGATAGAGGCCGCCAGGTTACGCAGTGTCTCTTTGTGCCTAAAGTCATTGCTGACTAGGGACAGATGATTATCTAAACAGGACTGTAGAAGGTTACCACCGTTGTCGGTATATCAGCAGGGAATTCCATACGTACCGCCTATATACTTCTCAGTCTGGCACAACTTCCTTACTGGGGCATTGAAGTCACCTTCTAATACAACTAAATCTGAGCGTTTTGCTTTTTGCAGCAAATTAGATAGTTTCAGGTAGAAATCATCCTTTAGTTCATTTGAACTGCAGACTGTTGAGGCGTAAGCGGAGACTACGAAAAGACAACGACGGGTAACGCCGTCCTTCCCTCTTCTAACGGACCCGTTCAGACGGACTGCACACAAATGACTATCTACTGGAAACCAGTCAAGAAGTGATTTTTCTTAACCCTGAACGCTATCTCTACACTTGCGAGTCATCTTGAACTAGCTGAGGAGTTTCCTGACACCCTTAAAGTAAATTCTGTAGATTCACCTTGTTGGCCTGTTGGGGTTAAGTCAATGACCACATTAGGGTCTTTTATGCGTGTCTCTGAAACAACATACATCCATGGATCGAGATGCAAGAGTTCTAGCTAGTGACCCATGTTGTCCCATTTGCCAGAGGGTCCTGACGTTGAATGCTCCTATATGTAGTTGCCGACGTGACTCTAAAAGGCTGTCGGGGGGGGGGGTGTTTCTATGGCTCTCATCGTTATTTCTGGTCACACAGTGAAGTTGCCTCACTGACCTGAAGAATAGTAGACTGTAGAAGGGAAGTAAGATTATGAAGGTGATGTGGGTAAAAGAGAATGATGCTCAGGAGGGTTTCGTGTGCTCTTGGAAGTGTGTGGGAGGTTGTTAATTCCCGGCTTCCCCTTGACCGTGGAAGTTGATTGATTCTTCGGGTACCTGAAACAGAAAGAGGGTTAGTGATGTGTGACCGCAGAACCCAGGGGACAAGTGCTTGAGACCGGTCACACACGGCCTGTATCAACTGGTTTCTGCGTTTGGTTCCGTATTAGTAAACTTACCACCGGTTAAGGACCACCGCACGCTAAGTTGGGATCTAAAATTGTTGGGGTTGACCTTCCCTAACCTCTCCTCTCCAGAGTAGAGGAACAGCATATCTGCCATGCTGGTCATCTAACGGAAACACCTTACTGCTGTTGCGTCCCTGTTCCCCAGCAGTACGGCTTCACCCACAGACACCCAGCATAGTGTAAAAAAATTCTTTCACTATGCCGACAACTGCTTTTAGTCTAATCGCTATCCTAACAAGCTTCCTGGCATGGTAAGACCTGCAGGAAAAATAGTTCCAGCCGGTGTAGCTTGTTGAGTCATTGCAATATGCAATCTGGACCGCGACGTCAAGATAACGGCTATCGGTCGGGGTACCATTTTATAGGTCTATTCATAAATACATACATGAATACGGTATCCGTTATGTGCAACAAAATGGCTATGTTAAGCGTCTGAGAAATCTCCACTCAATCACTTGTAGTGGTCTCATGGGCTATGACGAGCCAACTTGTGAAATGACTGTTTCATAATTTATTATTATTCTTCCTTATTGTTAATGTTTCTCAGAATATTAAGGTGTTTTGGCCTGCCTTCACGTAAACCAATTTCATTCAAAATCACTTTTTAATACATTTGGGATGCCTACATCATAAGGGTTTTAATAAAATGTAGATACTTATGGTAACTACAAAAAAAGTCAAGTCCAGTTTCGTGTTCCTGATGATATTGATCTGCACCTAATAAGTAGCAACAGGTTGTAGCACCATTTGATTACCAGAGCTTACTACAATGAGGTGCGCTGACTTTAGTACATTGAGTGGAAGTAGTATGCCTACTTCGCTGGGCAAGGAAATGACAATGTTGAAAGTAGTTTTTTCAAAGACTTAACTTTATTCCGTGTAGTGAAACCGCTGTATCTGTTAATAATTTCTCCGGTTTGAGAACTGCGTTAGCCTGAGTAGGTTTATCACCAAAAAGATGGCAAGGTTGTAGTAATTTAACCAAATTTAGTTCACTTGTATTGCTTGTCAGGTATGTATATTCATGTTATAAA